ACAGATGGAAAGATCTCTGTGTTCTGGGGTGCTAGTCCAGTTGTAGCTGTGATATGTGAGAAAGAACAAATTCAAATCTGGATGACCGCTCTCCCAATAACAGATCTAAAAACATCTTCACTCAATCAATCCATAGAACATACACAGATGTTCAAGTGGGGGGGGGGGGGGTAGAGGTAGAGGCTGACGCATTTCACACAATCAGTGTGAAGTGCGTTAGCCTTTTCCCTCCCCTGCTTGTACATCTGTGTGTATTCTATGGATTGATCAAATAAAGGTGTTTTTGGATCTATTATCTTGAGTGCAGCCATCCAGATTTCTTCTATCTCACATGTAACTGGGAGTAGTGATGTCTTCTAGGGGCATTGGCCAGGTATGGTATAAGAATAGCTACATTGGTCCAAGCTATGTATAACTTTTTGCAAATTCTATCTTTCTTTCTTTTCAAATAAACTGTATTACTGAATATAAAACATGAATATATACTGTTGAAATTTTTCTTAGAAATGTGTCCTATTTTGTTGGCTTCTCCTATACAATGCATATTTTGGAACAGTAATTCAGACATTCTGGCCTGGTTATTTCTGGAGAATGCCTTCCAGGGAGTAGGTTAAGGGGCAACTAGCACTAGCTGTGGCATGAATGGTGTACACAACATTCGTTTTGGTATGCTGCAGCATATTAAATGCTTTTCCTAGTTGTTTATCATTTTACCAACTAAGAATACAGAATAGAAAAAATAAATAAAATAGCAACCTCTGATTCCCTTTTCTTGCATCTGTTTCTATTGTCACTAGTGTTAATAAATAGCATAATATTGATCTTCTCATATTTTCACCCTGACCTGTGATCTTGTAGTTCAAAACTTTCTCCAATTCAAGGACCCCTAAGGTGGTTCTAAAGGCTCAAGGTTTTTTTTACCTCCATACATTCTATGAATGAAGGTAAAAAAACCTCTGTGCAGCAGCGCCCCCCCCCCCCCCCCCCCAATACTCACTTAAGCCCTCTCTCAATCCAGCGATGTGCATTGGAGTCTCGGCTATCCCGGGACTCGCTCTCCTTATTGGCTGAGATGGAAGTGGATGCTATTGGCTCCTACTGCTATCAATCACAGCCAGTGAGACAATGAGAAGAGACAGGGGGTGGGGCTGAGCCATGGCTCTGTGTGTGAATGGTCACCAGGAACAGCGGGTGTCCGCATAGCAAGCAGGAGGAAGGGGCCAGGAGTTTTGCCAGGGGACCCGAGAAGAGGAGGCTGCTCTGTGCAAAACTATTGCACACAGCAGGTAAGTATAGACATGTTTGTTATTAAAAAAAAAAATCCTTTAGAATCACTTTAATTTACATCATTTCTGTTGATGGGAATGTGATTAATCATGATATAATAAAATCAATGTCTGGAATATACACCAACAGGTTTTAGAAAAAGGTAGGAAGGCAAGCTCATTGTATTGTTACCATGAGTGATTGATATAATGCTAAAAACTTGACACTTACTATGTGTATGCTGGTCTTTATATTATTACAGTAGAGGGTTAAATGTCAAAATCTCATTTGCTCATTTTTTTCCTTTAACATCTTTGTCATGAAATTGCAAAACGTAGAACAGGGGAAAATAAGAGTTTGCCTACTACACAATATTTGCTGTTTTTGTTTTTCCTTAAAACAGCTAAACATTTTGCTTTAATAGCACGAGGAATAATTAGAACCTCTGCCAAGTTACTACTGCTTCCCCAGTCCCCATTCAAAAGATTTCCTCTTACCTGCTGTTCTGGTGACTGGTGCTATCTTGGATGAAAAGTAAGGGTTACCATTTTCTACAGAGCGGCAAAAACACTTTCAGTAGCTTGGGAAAGGGTTAGTTCTGTCAGTATCAGTGATTTGGAGGTTGCTGAGAAGATAAAAAAGCTGACAAACTGCATAGACAGAGATTAGAGATATATCGGAAGCTATAATCCTGACTGCAAGCTCTTTGGACAACCAGCCTCTTTGCTGAAAGTTGGTACTTATTATTGAGCTTTTTATCTTTCATTTTATTTTGTGTTTGATTTGAGGTCTATGATCACTTTTAGCTGCTGGTCCATCCATAGCAATTTTTTGGGTGCAATTGTTCAATTAAAAATGGCTTTTGTTTCAATTGGTATTACAGTATTTTGAAGTTTTAATTAATTTGGGGTATTTATTGTTTTTTTACAGTATTTGATATTGATAGGGTACTTATTTTAGGTTAAATTGCATTTTTTTGGAGGGAGTGGCCAGGACCTGCATGTGAGGGGTAGCTCCTCCAAAAGGTCCCTCGGTTGATCCAGTTAGTGATCCTCCCCCAGCCTGTTTTCTGACTATGTTCCTCTTCCTCCTGCTGGCTGATACCTCTGTGACCTCCATGGAACTGCCGACGGCTGGAGGGGCATAATATCACAGTCTAGGCTGCGAACTACACTGATTTACTTTCCCACCAGATACCTACGTGATAGTGGGCTCTAAGTGCTTGCGTACTCATTACAATAGCTGATCTGTCCTGTTGGCAGTTTCTACAACTTGTTTGGGAGGGAACTTGTTTCCCCCCCCCTTTTTTTCAGTTTGAACTTGGACTCTCACTTTTTCTGGAATGTTTTGCTGTGTTATCCTAACATGAGATGGCGCAGTGGTGCCTTTACATTGCAGTGTGAGGTCTGATGGGTGTTCTATATATTTAATATATGCATTCACATGCTACAGTTGCAAATAAAAGTATGTGAACCCCTTGGGATTACGTGGAGTTTTGCATGAATTGGGCATAAAATGTCCTCTGAACGTCATCTAAGTCACAACAATAGAAGAACACAGTCTGCTGAACATAATACTACACAAACATTAGATGTTGCCATGGTTTAATTGCACATAACATGTAAACATTCACAGTGCAGGGAGTAAAAAGTATATGAACCTTTGGACTTAATAACTGGTTGACCCTCCTTTGGCAGCAATAACCTCAACCAAACGTTTCCTGTAGTTGCAGATCAGACCTGCACAATGATCTGGAGTAATTTTTGGACCACTCCTCTTCACAAAACTGTTTCAGTGTAGCAATATTCTTGGGATGTCTGGTGTGAATCGCTCTCTTAAAGTCATGGCACAGCATTTCGAGTTGAGGTCAGGACTCTGACTGGGCCACTCCAGAAGGCGTATTCTGTGCTGTTGCAGCCATTGTTTTGTTGAATTACTTGCATGCTTTGGGTCATTGTCCTGTTGAATCACCCATCCTCTGCGGAGCTTCAGCTGGCAGACAAATGGTCGTACATTTTCCTGCAAAATGTCTTGATAAACTCTGGAATTCATTTTCCCATCAATGACAACAATCCGTCCAGGCCCTGAGGCAGCAAAGCAGCCTTAAACCATGATGCTCCCTCCGCCATGTTTTACAGTGGGGATGAGGTTTTGATGTTGGTGTGCTGTGCCTTTTTTTCTCCACACATAGTGTTGTGTGTTCTTCCCAAACAACTCAATCTTGGTTTCATCTGTCCACAGTATATTTTGCCAGTAGTGCTGTGGAACATCCAGGTGCTCTTTTGCAAATTTCAAACGTGCTGCAATATTCTTTTTGGACAGCAATGGCTTCCTCCGTGGTGTCCTCCCATGTACTCCATTCTTGTTTAATGTTTACCTTATTGTAGATGTGTCAACAAAAATGTTAGCATGTGCCAGAGATTTCTGTAGGTCTTTAGCTGACACTCTGGGATTCTTCTTTACCTCATGCAAATTCTGCGCTGTGCTCTTGCAGTCATTTTTACAGGACGACCACGCCTAGGGAGAGTAGCAACAGTGCTAAACTTTCTCCATTTGTAGACAGTCTGTCTTACCGTGGACACATGAACATCAAAGCTTTTGGAGATACTTTTGTAACCCTTTCCAGCTTCATGCAAGTCAACAATTCTTGATCGTAGGTCTTCTGAGAGCTCTTTTCTGCGAGGCATGGTTCACATCAGACAGTTCTTCTTGAAACCAGTAAACCCAAAACAGATGTGTGTCTTTTAAGGGCAGGATAGCTGTCAGCAACACATCCAATATCATCACACTGATTGGAGTCAAGGTTGGCTCACTCCTGGCTCCAATTAGCTCTGGGAGAAGTCATTAAGCTAGGGCCTCACATACTTTTTCCTCCCTGCACTGTGAATGTTTACACAATATGTGCAATTAAACCATGGCAACATCTAATGTTTGTGTAGTATTATGTTCAGCAGACTGTGTTCTTCTATTGTTGTGACTTAGATGACGTTCAGAGCACATTTTATGCGCAATTCATGCAAAACTCCACGTAATCCCAAGGGGTTCACATACTTTTTCTTGCAACTGTATATGGGTTTGCTTGTGTTTCCACCTCAAAGGCTTCTGAATTGCTGCTCTGACATGTTTGATCTGGTACTGACTCATTTACTGTATAGTAATTTAACATAACAGAAGTCTCGGTGGTGTCTTGGAATATTAGGGGGTTTATAGCCCCCTTAAACGCACTATGATTTTCTTATGTTTAAAAAAGCTACAACCTGCTATTTTATACTTCCAGAAGACCCATTTAAACACTGACACCCAATGTTGGCTCCAGTATTCCTGGATAGGGAAAGCTTACCACTCCACACATACATCTATTCCCATAGAGTGAGCGTCCTGGTGCATGGCTCCTTAGACTTCTAGGAATATGATGTTAAGGTGGATTCAGAGGGGCGCTTTGTTTTCTGCACTGCCTTTTAGATATCTTACAATATATTTTAGTAGGTGTATATATCCCTCCACCGTATATTAGTGAGGTGATCCAGCTTCTGATCTCTTATTTGGAGGGGAAGCCAGAACTCCTATTACTAATTATAAGGGATTTCAATTGTTGCCTGAATCCATTACTGGATAGACTTCCAGTTCTGACAGATTCCTCCCCATTTCAGGGGTACCCCTCAGCGTGGCTAATAGAAGAGATGGGATGGATAGATGTCTGGAGGTTTCAGAATCCATTGGCTAAACAATTTTCCTGTTATTCAAAGTCTCATGATACTCTGTCTAGAACAAATTTTGCTTTGGGGATCTGAAACTTGCTCCAGTATGTATTTGAGACTAACTACTGTACAGGCCTCGTAGTGTCTCAGACAGGGGCAGACTGACAACTCATGGGGCCCCCGGGCAATAGGGTATCATGGGGCCTCTGTGCCCTTGCCCAAACTCAAAAAAGCCTATGAAAAAGGTACCAGGGGCATCTCATGGGGCCCCCTACTGACCCTGGGCCCTCGGGCAGTTTCTCCGAGTTTCCAAATGGTCAGTCTGCCCTGGTCTCAGACCATTCACGGGAAGTAACTGGGTGCTGTTTAATAATGTGTAAAAGAAAGCTGTGATATTCTCAGTGGCACACTCTCTAATCAGCCCCCTGCCCAACCCAGTATAGTACCCTCCTCCTGCATTGCTCAGCCCTGCACAGCCCTGGGGGGGGGGGGGGGGGTCAGTGAGACCACAGTCTGAGCTGCCAGGTGAGAGTGGTGGGCTCGTATGTGAATCTGGAAGTCAGAGGGCCTTTCCAACCCAGGACATGCCCTCTGGGTTTCCTCTTTTACATACAAGCCCACCACTTTCACCAGCCAGTTCAGAATGTGGCCTGTCTGCCTCTACCTTATGTGCACATGCAGCCGGCAGCAGGAGAGAGAGAAGTGAGTCAGCCACCATACAGCTACCATGTCTTTGTGCATAGCAGGAGTATCTTGGCACATGGTGGAAGCAGTGAGTGGTACTGGGGGGCCCCAGGTCAACTTGTGCATTGGGGCCCTCAAGCTTCAAGTTATGCCTCTTCATTTGTTACTGAATATCTGTCTGCCTTTTTATTGCAGCATACCACAGTATCATTTGAAAGAAATAAAAAGCTAAGTGCAAGAAGGGTGTACACCTAAACCACACCATATTATATCACTCAAATTCACTGCACTCCCATCCCCAAAGATAAAATAAAATTAGGCATACACCAGTTGGGCCTAGGTATCCCTGGTTATACCTGGTTAAAACTGTCCTGCTACTTTCTAATTTTACACTGGTGTATCAATTTGCACTGTCCTGATTTTTTTTAATAAAGCTGCAGCCTCTGCTATTTTGTAAATTTGGGCCTAGCCTTGCTGTTTAACCACTTGCCGACCGCAAATAGCCGAATGATGGCTTCACTGCGGCCGGTCAGTTCTGGGAGAGCATCATATCATGTCCTTCCAGAACGCGCTCTCCTAAACTTCCCCAACGACGCCCCCGGTAATCTCCGTGATCGCAGTGTCCTACGGACACAGCTGATCACATGATGTGGTAAAAGGCCAATCACAGCAGCCTTTTACCACGTGATTAGCCATGTCCAATGACACACTGATCACCGGGAAATGCAGTTGCCGGTTATCGGCTGCACCAGCAGTTGTCAGAGGAGGGATCGGCACTGATGATCAGTGCCCAGCAGTGCCACCCACCAGTGCCACCCACAAGTGCCTATCAGTGCCCCCACCTGTGCCCAGCAGTGCCACCCAGCTGTGCCCATCAGTGCCCACCAGTGCCACCCACCAGTGTCCATCAGTGCAGCCCAGCAGTGCCACCCATCAATGCTGCCCAGCAGTGTTGCCAGTCAGTGCCCAACAGTGCTGCCTATCAGTGCCCATCAGTGCCGACTATCAGTGACCATCATCAGTGCCACCTCATCAGTGACAGCTCATCAATGCCGCCTATCAGTGCCACCTATCCGTGCAACCTCATCAGTGCCACATATCAGTGCCCATCAGTGCCGCCTATTAGTGCCCATCAGTGCTGTCTATCATTGCAGCCTCATAAACGCACATCAGTAGGAGAAAAATTACCTGTTTGCAAAATTTTATAATAGAAACAAAGAAAAACTTTTTTTTTTCAAATTGTTTGCTCTTTTTTTGTTTATATCGCAAAAAAATAAAACACCCAGCAGCAAGTAAATACCACCAAAAGAAAGCTCTATTTGTGTGAAAAAAATTATAAAAATTTCATACGGGTACAGTGTTGCATGACCGTGAAATTGTCATTCAAAGTGCGACAGCGCTGAAAACTGAAAATTGGCCTGGTCAGGAAGGGGGTATAAGTGCCCGGTAGGCAAGTGGTTATTTTGCTGTCTAACTTTACACTGCTGTGTTATTTGCAGTCTCTTAATTCATTTTCTATAGTAAAGCTCTGGAAATGTTTACTTATTAAAAATGTCCTGTTGCTGGTCATTTTACACACTTTTGTATCATATGCAAGTCTTATTTCTTAAAGAGAGCTTGATAGAAATTGGCCACTGGCAGAATAGTTTTGCATTGGCAGGAACAAGAACAATAAAAAATACATAACCCTAACTAAAGAAACTAATGGAGCTTTGGAGTCATCATACCACAAAAATTGAATATTCAAAAAAGTAGCTTTATTAATAAAATTCAAACCACAGTTGTGGTGTTAAGGGTTGAACAGACAAAATGTTTCATCTTAAAAAGCACAATGTGCTAGTAACAAACACAATCAATATAAACTATTACAAGATATGGATATGTAGTTTTCAGTGTCCGGTTATTAAGGGGTGTGGCATCAATTTAATCCCATTGGCAAGGTAGGAGACTTTTATTGCGAGTCTCCTTCTCCCTTTCGTTTTCTTCTTTAATACTAAGAACAGGGACAATAATCTCTATGAACTGCTGTCTAATTTCTATCTGCCTGCCAAAGCAGGTCTATTATCATTTGATGAAAAATGTTGCTGCTATAGTTATCTGAAAAAAATGAAAACAAAACATTTCTTGCAAACTAAAATTAATTAGGTTAGGGTGCTGCTGCTGTATGTAAGTGTAGCCCCCTGGTCCTGAATTGGACATGAAAACAACATGTTTAAATAGGACACTGGGAACTTTCAAACTTGCACATTCAGTCAGATGAAGAAAAACTTCAAGCAAGCTCAAAAGCTCTGACTAGATGGTTCCCACATGGCAAGCCTACCCTCAATGGGCAAACAACAGTACCCTCAAACCAAAGAAATACAGAAAGGGCTGTCAGACAAAAAACAGATAAAAGAATCCAAGACAATTCTATTTGTTGGTAAATAAAAATATATAAAAATAGCACATATGTTTTTTGAGGCAAGACCATTCACCCCTTCACCAAGGCTACTAGAATAAACAAAATACATAATCATATTGATGAAAGAATATGTCTAAATATGCATGCATATGAGTATATACCACATATTCCTAAGAGATCACATAAAAAAAAAACAAAACTGTCACAAGAATTTCAGTTGTCTTTTAGAATTAGAAACATTGAAGGATCAAATCAATATATAGTAAAACTGCATATAATGAAAGTAGATCTAAAAAAATGGTAAAAAAATAATGTAAACTGCATTAAAAATGAAAGGTAGAAAAAAAGTATTAAAAACCATTAAAAATTCAAGTTGCTGGAATACGACTAACTGGCTACTAGAATAAGTGCTAAACACTAAGGGGAAGATTTGCTAAAACTGGAGCGCTCAGATTCTGATGCAGCTTTGTACAGGGGCGGACTGACAACTCATGGGGCCCCCGGGCAATAGGGGATCACGGGGCTCCTGTGTCCTTGCCCACACCCAAAAAAGCCTACAAAAAAGCCAAGGAAAGGTACTAGGGGCATCTCATGGGCCCCCCTACTGACCCCGGGCCCTCGGGCAGTGCCCGAGTTCTCGATTGGTCAGTCTGCCCCTGGCTGTGTATGGTAGCCAGTTAGCTTCTAACTTCAGCTTGTTCATTCAAGCTTTGATAATAAAACCTGGAAGCTGAATGGTTTCTATGCAGAGTTGCACCAGATTTGCATGCTCCAGTTTTAGTAAATCTCCCCCAAACTGCTGGTTTCACCATTCTCTTTCACTTTCCCCATTACTCAAGAAGTGCCAGTCATTCCAGATCTTTCTTTCTTTCTTTCTTTCTTTCTTTTTCTTTCTTTCTTTCTTTCTTTCTTTTTTCTCTCCCCGTTACTCAGTAATGCCAGACTCCTTCTCTAATTTCCAGGAACTTGCCTCCGCTTCTTCCTCCCAAGCCTTTTTATATTTAATATAATGAGCAGAATTGCCATCCACTGTTGGTACTCAGCAGCTGTTACATTGTTTCTTCATGGGGAGAGATTTGTACTGGTTCTAGTCATCTTCATCATTTGTTACATTCTATTTGTTCACTTTGTGACTGTCTTTTTAATCAGATCATATCAATGACATAAATCCCTGGGAAAAAAAAAAAAAACAGTTTTAATTCTAGATTAAAATGCCAAAACAGTGGAAAATACAAGGGGGTGACTACTTCTGTAAAATGTTACAGTTACACTCAGTAGATCAAGGGTAGGCAACCCTGGCACTAGATAGACCCACCTTTTAAACAATAAAACTGGACAGCAGCTGCATACAGAAGAAGCAGCGGGGCTGGTGCCCACCCACCTCTATTTCCGCTGGTGTCGGTTCCTGCATTACTCTCTCCACACTGAAGCTGTATCAAGTTGGATTACCCGGGCTGCTTCTTCTCACTTTGAAAGAGTAATTATAATCAGTATTTTTCCTCATCTGTGGTACAGCACTGTTTTAGTCTGAGCAGGCTCATGGCCAGGCTTTTACTATCAGTTTACTTTCCCTCCCTCTGAAAATGTCTCCCCCTCAGGATCCATGAACCTAGCTCATCTTGGAGGGGATATAGTCAGAGAGGTTTCTCTTCAAAACGGCTATTATCCCTTCCACAGCAAACTTTTTATGAGTAACTCAGTGCAAAGAAGGATTTAATGTGGAGGGAGAAGGGTTTTAAAGGCTTTTCTGACATAACAGCTTTTGGGAATGACTATTTTAGGCAACATTCGCATGGGCGTTCAGCCACAGTGCAAATGGCAGCGACAGGAATCTGCTGATTCCTGCTGCTTTTTTTGACACCAGTGAACAGCTATCAGCAGCCGCCAAGCCCTTACAGTACAGTATAATGGCAAGTTACTGGGGGCTGCAGCTATTCATGACTGTTCATTACAGTCAGGGATTACCCACGGTGATCACTGCTGAACACATACTTTGTGTTGATTCAGCAGTGATAGCCACAGATAATCACCCGTTGTGTGAACAGCCATGAATAGCTACAGCCGCTGGCAACTTGTCATAAAATTGTACTGTACAGGCTCAGTGGCTGCAGCTAGCAGTTCACAGGTGTCACAAACAGCAGCCGGAATCAGCAGATTCCTGTCTCTGCCATTCACAGTGGTATCCAAATAGAAGGAACTACTAGTTTAAAACAAGGTTTGGTAACTACTACTTTAGAACATCTATTGAGAACTGCAACTTCAGAACAGATATTGGTAATTTTCACCTTATAAAAAGAAATTAGGAACTGCAGGAATTGGGACTCAGTTCTCCAATTCTACTGCATGGTACAGATGGTACTGTCTTGACAGGAGCATTAGCTGGTGTTTATTTCTGGAGCATCTATGTGGAAATGGTTTGGTCCATTTATGCCAGAAGGTGCAGGAATTGGGCTGATCTGAGGCCTGAAGGAGCAGAAATTGGGGCTGATCTGAGGTGTGAAAGTGCAGGATTTGGTGTGAGCTAAAGTGTGAAGGTGCAGGAATTGGAAATGACCTGAGGTTTGTAGGAACAGGAATTGGGATTGATCTGGGTTGTAAAAATGCAGGAATTGGGGTGAACTGAGGTCTGGAGCTGCAGAAATTGGGACCGACCTGAGGTGTGAAAGTGCAGAAACTGGGACTGCCCAGAGGTCTGAAAGTGCAGGAATTGGAGCTGATCTAAGGCTTGGAGATGCTGGAATTGGGTCTGATCTGAGGTCTGGAGATGCAGAAATTTGGGCAATCTGAGATGTGAAGGTGCAAGAATTGTGATCAAAGTTCTGGGGGTTCAATAATTGTGGCTGATCTAAGGCCTGAAGGCACAGGAATTGTCACTGCAGAATGGGTGTGAAGTTGCATAAATTGGGGTGAGCTGAGGTTTGGAGGTGCAGGAATTGGGGCTGCTCTGAGGTGTGAAGGTGAATGATTTGGGGTGAGCTGAAGTGTAAATATGCAAGTATTTGGGTGATCTGAGGTGTGAAAGTGCTGGAATTGGGACTAATCGGAGGCCTGAAGTAACAGGAATTGGGGCTGATCTGTTTTGTAAAAATGCAGGAATTGGGATGAACTGAGATCTGGAGGTGGACGAATTGGGGTAACCTGAGGTGTGAAAGTGCAGATATTGGGACTGACCTGGGGTGTGAAGCTGCACAATTTGGGACGAATTGGGATAACCTGAGGTGTGAAACTGCAGATATTGGGACTGACCTGGGGTGCGAAGGTGCACAATTTGGGACAGAAGGGACTCAAAGGGATTTGAGGTGTGAAGGAGCAAGGATTGAGATAATCTGAGGTGTGAAGTTGCAGGAATTGGGGTGAGCTGAGGTGTGAAGGTGCAGAAATTGGGGTAATCTGAGTGGTGAAGGTGTAGGAATAGGTGTAATCTGAGGTGTGAAGGTGCAGAAATTGAGGACTGATCTGAGGCCTGGAGGTGCAAGAATTTGGCTGATCTGAGGTGTGAAGGAGCAGGAATTGGGGTTAACCCAGTTTGTGAAAGTACAGGAATTTGGGTGATCTGGGTGTAAAAGTTCAAACATTGGGGTAATCTGACAGGTGAAGGTTCAGCCATTGGTGTGAGCTGAGATGTGAAGGGGGTGGGTGATCTGAAGTCTGGAGGTGCAGGAATTGGGGTGATCTGAGGTGTGAAAGTAAAGAAATTGGAGCTAAACTGAAGTGTAAAGGTAAAGGAATTGGGGCTGATCTGAGCCTGAAGAAACAGAAATTGGGGCTGTCTGGGGTGTGAAAGTGCAGGAATTTGAATGATTCTGTATAATAATAATAATCTGAGTTGTGAAGGTGAAGGAATTGGGGCTGATCTGGGATGTGAAAGTACAGAAATTGGTACTGATCTGAGGCCTGAAGAAACACGAATTGGGCCTGATCTGGGGTGCAAAAGTGCAGTAATTGGGGTGATCCGAAGTGTGAAGGTGCAGGAAGTGGGGGTAATCTGAGGTGTGGAGGTGCAGGAATTGGGGCTGTTCTGAGGTGTGATAGTGCAGGTATCAGGGTGATCTGAATGATGAAGGTACAGGAATTGCTGTGAGGTGTAAAGGTGCAAGAATTGGGGTGATCTGAGATGTAACAGTGCAGGATGGGGGTGATCTGAGGAGTGAAGGTGCAGGAATGAAGTCTGATTTAGGGTCTGAAGGTGCAGAGATTGGGTATGATCTGAGAGAACTTTATTAGGGTGACCACTATCACCTCACGCTTAATTTCCAACTGTATATTTCTCAGAAATCCTTGGTTGACATACTCATTTCAACCCTTAGCAGTGTTCTGCACATGTGTTCTGTAAAAAGGGTAAGTTACCATTTACCATTCTTGAAAGCTAATTTCTTACTATTATTCAAATAGTTTACAGCATTTACTGTATAAAATTCCTTTTCGTGATTGAGTGTGTAAAGTTTACTTTTTTTTTTATATAACTGACACTCTCAATTTCTACTAAAACATTTTTCGGCACACTATTCTCAAACGGTTGTCTACCCCTGCAGTAGATGTTCTCCATTTGATGTAAAGCAATATTACTTGCCAAAATAAAGTCATCCACTGCAATATCTTACATTCACTGTGTAACTTGTAGGTGCATGCTACCATAATCATTTATACCAAGGGGATTTTCATTTTCTTGTCCGATATTTCATCTGTTAGATGTTAATTTCATTTAAAATGTACTTAGAATAGAATTTAGGGTACTGGTATCCATTATCAATTACTTTACTGTTCTTACAGTTTATTAAGGCTAATGGCCTTCTATATTAAACTATGTGGATATTTAAAGTAACCAGGGAATTAAAAGTTCAAGGCTACTTAACCAGAAGCTTAACAATTAATCTCTCATGTAGTGATCAACAGGGTGGGAGCTGCTAAATGTATCATGTAAATCACACTAACCTCAATATACTCGTATTTTCCAGTTGATCTAGGTCAGGTTCAAGACTTGCAGTCTTTGTTGTGGTCATTTTGGTTAAGGTTATGGGAATGGTTAGGGTTAAGTATTAGGATCAGGTTTATTATTAAGGGTTATTTTTATGATGCGCGTTTATCAAAAAATCAAGCTACTGCAAAATGGGTGACCACAAAGTAGCCATAAGCAGGAAGACTTGCTACCACTTATGCTTATGGCCAATATTCCATCTTGTCTTCTGAAATCACTGTTGGATTCAGTTCAGTAATCATGTGTGCAGACTGAAAAAAGTACTATAATCTGCACTGATAAAATGTATGCCACCTTGCTAATTACATAGCTATCAATTGCCTGCTTGAAAAGCAACCATTCCCTATACAAACTCAATTTCCAAAAGAGAACTGATACTACCTAAATGGCTGATTTCTAGAAACCACAGACACACTTTGGCTGCCATTATGAATCCTGTTTCCCTTTGCTGAGCTGCTAAATCATATTAGTGTCAGCCATATAGAGATTCATAAATGTGGCGGTATATCCATGTAGGTGACTGTGAAGTAATGCAATCCTGGCAAATTCACAACAGTAATTGTAAATCAGGGCCTGTGTGTTAACTTCAACAGTTTATTTTAAAGCTTAGGTTATGAGTTATGTATACGATGAAGTATTGCAAGGATTACACTATGATTCTACTACAGG